CTCTCAGGATATTTCTTCTGGAACACAATCCAGCCCTGAGTAGTTGATCTGTCATTCACAGAGATCAGCTCTCTGTGTTGCCTTGGCAGCTCCTTCCAGCACCTTGTTAGGTCTCTCTTCTATTTCAGTGCTAAGGGAGCACCTGGGGCAATTGTTTGTGTGTTGCTTAGGCAATGGGTTGGAGGTTGATGGGGGGAACTGGGAGGAGCAATGCAAGTTTCTGCCTGGAAAATGACTGCAGTGGTTGGCTCCTTACCAGGCATGTACTTCTCTCTCATGGATTCCCCTGATGCTTTCTCTCCAAAAATCAAATCCTGCACTCCAGTGGGTCTGGTATGCCAGGTGATGGTGTGCGCCAGGTGCTAGGTGCTGAAAATCAGCTGAATTCAGCAGGCTTTTCTCAGGTGTGTTCCCGCAGCAGACATTTCTACAGTGATCTTGGGAGCTGAGCTCTAATTTCAAGGCAATGGGAGCTTGCAATTGCCCTCAGAGTGGGGGCCGAATATCCCCTCAGATGGACCTTCGCACTCCCACCACTGCCTACCTACTCACATGGAGAGTCCCTATTGTCACTAGCCTCCATGGAGACTTTTAATCGGCCGCCATCTTAAGCTCCTCCTCCAACATTTTTTCATATGTCTGTCAGTCATGTATATGTCTTCTTTTGAGAAATATCTACTCAAGTCTTTTGCCCATTTTTGAATTTTTTTTTGTTATTGACTAGAATTCCTCACATATTTTAGATATTAACTCCTTATCAGATGCATAGTTTGGAAATACATTTTTTCATTCTGTAGGTTATCTCTTCACTCTGTTGTTTCCTTTGCTGTGCAGAAGATTTTTAGTTTGATGTAATTTTATTTGTCTTTACTTTTGTTGCCCATGCTTCTAAGGTCATATCCAAAAAAAATCCTTGACTAGACCAATGTCATAAAGCTTTCCCCTATGTTTTCTTTTAGTAGTTTTGAGTCTACTATTTACATTTTTATTTTATTTTGAGTTGATCTGTGTATATGGTAAGAGATAAGTGTCTAATTTCATTTGTCTGCATGTGTACATTCAGTTTTTCCAGTACTATTTACTGAAGAGGCTGACTTTTCCCCATTGTGTGTACTTAGCATCTCTGTCAACAATTAGTTGACTGTAAATGCATGAATTTATTTCTGGAATCTATATTCTTTTTGTGTGTGTGTGTGTCTGTTTTTATGTCAGTATCATGCTGTTTTGGTTACTATAACTTTATGTTTTGAAGTCAGGTAGTGTGATATCACCAGCTTTGTTCTTTTTGCTCAGGATTACTTTAACTATTTAAGATCTTTTGTATACAAATTTTAGGATTACTTTTTCTATTTCTGTGAAGAATGTTATTGGTATTCTAAAAGATATTACATTGAATCTGTAGGTCACTTTGGTTAGTATGGACATTTTAACAATAATAATCCTTCAAATCCATGAACATGGGATAGCTTTCCATTTTTTTGTGTCTTCAATATCTTTCATAAATATTTTATAGGTTTCATTGTGAAGATCTTTTACTTCCTTGGTTAAGTTTATTCCAAGTTATTTTATTTCTAAGTTATATCTTTAAGTTATCTAACAAATTTTAAAATAAATCTTGAATTTTCACTGTTTCTCAATTTCAGTATATTGTCAAGTAGGTTTGAATACACTTAAGATGACACACTTTGAGATATGTCATGGAAAATTTTTTATGAAGGGCAAACTTTTTAAATTTATAATTTCAAGTCAGTAGCACCGAGAACCTGATGTCTTAGATGATCATCATGATGATTAATTCAAATGATAATGAAAACTGAGTTTTTTAGGGCTTGCTAAATCAAATACCTTGCTAAATAATTTAAAAAGACTGGCTCATGTATTCCTCATTATAGCCTCTAAGGTAGCTCCAAGCTGCTGTATATTATACTTTGTAGACAACAAGAATATAAGAAAATAAAAAATGTATGCTCTTCCATCATGTAGATATGAATATGATGTGATAAGAAAGAAATTAATGTTAATAATATTGGAATATCAACATCAAATGGACTTTAAATAACTCAGTTTATAGGAAACAAAATTTCATTCTTTTTTTTTTTTTTTTTTTTGAGTTGGAGTCTCACTCTGTCGCCCAGACCTGCTGGGCTCCGGCAATCCTTCTGCCTCAGCCTTCCAAGTAACTGGAACTATAGGCATGCGCTACCACACCCGGCTAATTTTTTGATGCGGTCTCGCCAAGTTGCCCAGGTGGGTCTCGAACCCGCAGGTTCAGGCAATCCACTCACCTCACCCTCCCAAAGGTGCAGGATTACAGGCTGAGCCACTGAGCCTGGTTACAAAATTTCATTCTTTATGGGAAAGACTTATGAAATAGAAGACTTTGACCTTGTGGAAGGTCAAAATAGACTATTTGAATTACAAATATTCTACAAATAAAATCACTAATTATAAAATATAGCTGACCACTATGATATCACAACCCTCCTCTGCATGCCACAGATACATAAATTCTACGGAACCATGGCTATATACCCCAGGGAGACATATTGAGTATTAGGTCCAATAGAAATTAATGTTTTTGGCTTTCAAATGGATAAGAGTAGGGGAAAGGAGGTAGAAATTCCACTGAGATATAAGTCATTAGACTGGAACTCTTGACATGGTTCTGTTTTATACCAACTTTATAACTGTGGATAAAGTCACTTCCATTTATGCCTGCTTTCTCAGTTAGAAAATGAAGTGCTAAGTAGAAAGTTCTATAAAGTTCTCTTAAAAATGTTATAACTCAATGTAATAAGAATAAGAATTTGATTAGCAGCTAAGGAGTTCCATGTAAAGTCAGCCAATTGCTTTAAGCAAACAAACAAAAGTGACCAGGTAAAAAATAATTCCTTTCAAATGTTAAGAATTAACTATAGGAATATTTGGTTGACCTTGCCCAGTTCCTGACATGCTTTCACACTTACAATCTCAGACTTATTCTGAGAGCAATTGTCGGCCAGATGATTGGAATTTATAATTTTAATCTTTGATAGTAGAAAAATGAGTGATTGGATTAGCTCCTTTTCCATATGAGATTAAACCCAGATGCCTTCCCCTGAAAAGCTATATATGGAATCTGATTTTCGAACTGCAGGTTTAAATAGTCTTTAAGTTTGGGGAATATTAATTCTTTCACATAAAACATTTAAAAATATACAAATAAAGTATAGCCAGCCCTCTGTATCCGTGAGTTCTACAGCCTGGGATTCAACCAACAACAGATCAAATGTATTTGGAAAAAATAACAATATGACAATAAAAATGATACAAATATAAAATACAGTAAAACAACTGTTTACATAGCATTTACATTGTATTAAGTATTATAAGAAACCTGAAAATTATTTGAAGTATATGAGAAGATGTATGTAGGTTATGTATAAATATTATGTCATTATATAAGAAACTTAAGTTTTTGTAGATTTTGGTATTCATAAGAAGTCCTAGAAACAATCTGTCATGGATATCAAAGAAAGACTGTACTTTATTTCTTACTTTGCCATCTTGGAAAAGAATTTCTTTGACTACTTAGAAGTATATATAATTTATTTAGTCATTTATTCACTCCATAAGTATAGAACATTTCTTCTCTCTCTCTCTATAAATATATATATTATATATATATTCACACACACACACACACCCACATAATACACACAGATACAAATATACATGTATTGTTTATGATTATTCCATATAATCGTTTTCCAAAACCACTATAAATTAGGAGGGCAAGTCCTAATCAGGTTAAATAAATAGAAGATAAGAAGATATTTGGTAGATATCTGTCAAATACTTTCTAACAAGAGTTAAATAAAAAATGATTATTTTCAAACTTTAAAGTTATGCCATAAAAATAATTTGTGGCATACTGACTTATAGTTTATTTTATTTCACAATAAAAATACAGTACAACACATACCTTGCCTCAGTAGAAATATACAGGTAAATGTGAGGGAGGAGGATACACAAAAAAACTTTTAAAGTAGATGCTGGCCTCAATGAGTTTATAGCACCATTTGATGCATACCATAATTTCTCAAAAAATTAAAATATAAAACTAACTAATAAATACAGAGAGGGGTATAAAATTGTATAGAGTTCAAAATGAGAAAAGATTACATTCATTTGGGGAGAAACTAGGAAACATTTTGAAAACTCTGAGCATTGGTCTAAACGTTTAGTACGTGTTAATTCATTTAGCCCTTACCCAACTATGACTTAGGTACTAATAATTTAATGAATGAAAAATTTGAGGGCTATATCTTGAAGAAGGCATACAGGATTTTGACTGGAGAAGGAAATTACAAGCAAAGTCATGCAGCTAAAGAGTGTTTATGACCTAATAGGAAATTGATTTGGTACAGACAAAAAATCTACAGGCGAGCACTAGGAAACACAGTTGGTCAAAGCTGGCTGGAGAAACAGTGTGAAAATTTTGTACAGTACATAATTCAAGATACTTTGGAGATCATGGATACATCATAGGAGTGACATGACTAGGATTGAATCTGAGTAATATTAGTCAAGTAAGTGGATTAAAGAAAATGCCAAATGGAGGCAGAAGCATTAGTTAGGACTCCACTTGAAATGACTAAGGCAAGAAGTAGTGAGTACAAAGGTCAAGGTGATGAAGAAGAGAGGTGGATTCAACAGACACTGTGGAAGGAGACTGCACATGGCTTTCTGACTGATAAGAAGCATGCAATGAAACATGGGAAGACTCAAAGATACTGGGTGCTTTCAAATATAGCTAAGATTAAATTGACTATTAAGAATTAATAAGAACATTTTACCAGATGAACCTTCAGAAAGCTATGGTGTAAAAAGTCACACACAAAAACTCTCCATAAGTATATGCAATGTTAGAAAGAATTTATGACAACTGAAATCTGAAAATTTGACTAATTTTATACTAATTAATACAATGAAACACAAGGTATATAAAGTAATCTTACCTCTTTGCTGTATTCACTATCTGAATCACTGCTAAGTTCCTCTGTATTCATATTCTCCAAATCAGATTCCCCAGGTGCAATTGGCACTGTCACTGTGAGACTGGGATTATGAATAAATGATTGACAATCACTTTCTTCCATCAAGTATTTGTCCATGCTTCTCGCAAAACCACTGATTCTATCTTTTTCCTTGCGGAAATTGTGATCTTTGCTTATTTCAGCAAGTGTTCGGTTAGATATATAGTTTTCCTTCTTAGTATTTAGTTCTTCTGTTTGTCTTATCTCCCTGGAAATCTTTGGCGTTTTGGAAAATGCTTTTAGAATACATTCATGTAAAGTTTGCTTCACATAATTTATTCCCTTTTTAATTCTGGCCACTGCAATCTGGAGGTTGTTTGCATCAGTGTCTTCTTCAACTGCTGTAAGATTGTCTGAACTAAATGAGCTCAATAATAAAGCCAGAAATAGGTTCAGGACCTACAGCAGGGTGGGGATGGGGTGTAGAGAAATAAGGAGACAGGAAATATAAAAAAAGGAAATAAACACACTTTTCTGAAACACAAACATTATACAAACCATACAAACCAGCAATAAAGATCCCTGCATTTTTCACACCAAAGTCAGAACATGTGAGAGAAATAGAGGAGAGGGTAGGTTCCTCACCACTCTTTCACAGATTAGCCTCTGCAGACTATGGGGAGCAGAGAGTCAGCCACGCCCATGAAGAATTACCATGGGGAGCAGAGAGAATGATCCCTCACCATTACTGTTATGTCATTTCTGAGTTCATTTCTGTAGCAGGAGTCCTTTGTTTAACTTCCCTTTTATGTACATAATACTTTCCTAACATTCTTCCTATTATTACTATTACTTATGAGAAATGAGTAGAACAAGAAAATTGTGACTGTTGCCTATTGTGTTGAATTCATTCAGGCCAAGATATGCATTCACTTTACCCAGAAGATCAATGTCACTTGACACAAATGGAAAGCCTAATACTTGGAGTTCCTGTAATAAAATATTTTGTGCAATAACTGTTCACTTAAAGTAGCTTTTAAAACACAGAAAAGGACCTGCCCATTTAACCTGATTCATGTGATAATAACATTATGACTGGCTGACTTCATTGCCAATCACTTTTGCCCTAAAAGAGGTTACAAAAGGGGAAAAGGACAGTTTATATTCTTGAAGCAAAATCCTGTGTAAGCAAAATCCTTTCTGTTTGTTTCTCACTGAAGTAGGGATGCAGGTGAATTCAACATTGTAAAAAAAAAAAAAGGGTTTACAGAGGAAAGAAAACATGTAAATTATATTTAAACATTGTTTTATATAGGAAACAAAAAGGTAATTGAATTAGCATTTGATGTAAGTCTCTTCATGGCCCAAATCATCTACCTCATATTATTAAAATAAAATAACTGAGGAGAAGGGACTCATCCCTGATTTTGGTCACACTTAAAACAATTTCTCAGAGATGTAAGTATAAAAAAGCAGATTAAAATTGTTTGTGTCAGTAAGTCTGATTAAGAGAAAATCCTGGGGATTGGTTACCTGGGAATTATAGAAAACAATTTTGATAATCACTAAAGAAATTCTGAATAGTTTATTTTAATTCTGAAATAGTTCAATAATTGCCAATGAAAAAATATTTCAGTACAAAATAAATGTTTATGTATGTTTGTGTTTTAATAGGAATACTTATGAGGACCCATTAATCCATTCAAGTGTTAATAAACTTCTTTTTCAATAATATATTTATGTTGTGTCACATCCTAGAGAACAGATGCTACAACAACTTTCTTTTTTTTTCAAAATCATAAGACTCTAAAATACCCATTAATAACCTAATGGGTATCACAAATGAAAATAAATTCCATTTTGTGTCACCTATTATCACATTAGGCAAGAAAAGAAATATTAATCAAATGTATATTTGATTCAAAGTCTCATTTTGATTATGGGTCTTCACTAGTTTCCTGATGTAGACTTGCGCTAACTAAAACCTATTTTTCTAAATGTGTCCTTGAGACTTATGATTCTTAACCGTTTCAATTCATTGGCAGTAAAATGAACTAAAGAACAAATGAGATACATTTTTAAAAAGAGAGGTCAGTTTAGCATATAACCAGAATGTGCAGGACTACATCAAGAACATAATTTTTCTATTTTTTCTCAGATTCTAATTCTACAATATTGGTAGTTTCTTAATTAAAGAGTTGGTTAACAACTTTATGAATTATCCTTTTGTTTTCTTTCATTATCATGAGTTAAGAATTAATGAATGACAATATGAGTCATTCAATACTAATTCTACATGAATGAAATGCCAACATAGCTTATCTATTTTTACTATAAATCTATATTACCCTTCAAAGGAAAGCATTACTCTCTTACTAATGTCCATGCTCAAATACTACATTATGTATTCTTCAAAGACCTACTTATAAAGCTTTCCTTGAGTCTAAATCTAGAATCTCTTTTTAAGTGTCAATATCAGTTTATTTGAACTTCACTGATAGCACTCATCACATCTTCCTTGTCTGATAATTTTTTTTTGTACTGCTTTTATCTGTCCTAATAGAATATAAGCATCTTAAAGACAGGGTCTATTTTTTTTTTTGGCTTTTTACCAAAACAATTCCTAAATATATCCCTGTCTAAACAATAGCTAAATACATTTCTTTTCACAGAGAAGGTGTTGACTGGATAATCTGATGAGAGCTAGGGAAAGCCCCTGCCTTTGCATATGCTGAATAAATAATAAACAAATTACTTGCGATCACTGGCTTAGTGTGGAATGTTTTCACAACTTACACCTTTCACAATTTCACTGTTTATGTCAAAAATTTTGTAAGAAGAAATACACAAACAAGTCTTGCATGGGAGCTTATGAACACAAAATTTAAACTCAGAAGAACCAAAGAGAATGTGTGTTTCATTCCAAATTGGAAGGAATTTGTAAGCCTATGTAAAAGCAGAATGCTTATTTATTACTACAGCTTGAGGGTGATCGATAATTACAGAATGGTAATTTATTTTGTGTGTGTGTATGTACAGAATGGGTTTAGAACTTGCATTGCATGTTTCACTCTGTATATGTCTGACACACTGTCATCTAGTATGTGATTGGATGAATGTAGGTTTCTGTACTGATCTTTGATTCCTTTTTATATGGAGCCTGCCGGGACAATAAAATTTTAGTAATTTATTTTCAGGCCAGTGGAAAGTGAAGGTACTTACCATGTAAGCTGTTACCACACCCCATCTCTGAGATACCTGATGAGAGGTTTGATTCTAAGATGACCAACTGAGACAAGTAAACATGGCAGATTTGAAAATTGAGGTGATTAGCTCATGGAAGAGCATATTATCCCAATTTTCTCCTGCTTGTAGGCTTAAAAGTTTTCACCAGCCAGAATACAAAAGAAAAGCAGAAAAATATAAGCCAAGAGAACAACTGGAAAAATAGACAGATGTTATAAAGAAATTGTTGGCAAGCGTTCTGTTTTGTAGGACATAGGGTATCTGTGGCAGCTACTCAACTCTTCCACTGTAGTGTAAAAGGAGCCATAAAAGAAATGAAATGAATGAACAGGTCTGTGTTCAATAAAACTTTACTTATGAACGCTAAAATTTGAACTTCTTATAATGTGCCTGTGCCATTTATTCTTTTGATTTTTTTAACCACTTAAAAATGTAAATATCATTCTCATCTCAAAGGGATCATACAAAAATGGGCATTTCACTGGATTTGGCCTGTGAGTCATAAATTGCTGGTCACTGTAGAGATGCTAGTCTGACTATAAGGTGGTGGGACCAGTCCCTTCATTTACCTTGGTCTATTATAACTTCATTTTTTGTCATTGTTAACTTAATCATACATTATTTACTTGTTTAGCTTTGAGAGGCATGAAAAATACTGATTTAATATTAATATGATATCACTATCAAAATGAGAGAACAAAATAGGAAGCTTTGCATTAAAATGAATAGGGATGATTTTCAAAATTATAAATATGAGTTAACTGGCCATGGAAATTAATAAAACATTTTATTTTCTTTATTGTTCTTCTTTGTATTAAAATTATCAGTGTTCTCTTATAAATAATACTTTTATACCTAACTGATTGCAAAAGTTTAAAAATAGCACGTCATATCACCATAATATAATTTTCACAGAGAATTTTAAGTATGTGAGCATCTGGTTACATACCACTAGGTTTCCAATGACCATGACCATCATGTAAACAATAAGGCACATGGCTTGACCAGCGACTTCCATACAGTCCCACATGGTCTCTATCCACTCTCCACAGAGCACGCGGAACACGATCAGGAAGGAATGGAAGAAGTCGTTCATGTGCCAGCGAGGAAGCTTACAGTCAGCATTGATCTTGCAGACACATTCTCTGTAGCTCTTACCAAAGAGCTGCATGCCCACCACGGCAAAAATGAAGACAATGATGGCCAACACCAAGGTGAGGTTGCCCAGAGCCCCCACTGAGTTACCAATGATTTTTATCAGCATGTTCAGTGTTGGCCAGGATTTTGCCAACTTGAAGACTCGGAGCTAAAAGCAAATATAAAGCTTAATGTTAATCATTATTTAAAAAAATTGTTATGCTTCCAATCTTTATTTCTGTTCTAAGTTTAAAACAGACTTTAAGTCCTAGAATAATATCATTATTATCTGGCTAAAATCAATTACTCCTGTTGTTTATTTTAATCTATTCAATATTCCTGTTATTTTGTTACACTTGCCACACTATAATTACAACACACATTATGAAGGATGTGTGTAATTTTAATTCAGGGTTGCTGTAGAAGTCTCTTTCGATTTTAGATTTTTTTTGAATTGATATTTTTTCCTTAATTCTATTTTCTAATACTTTTATACATTTTATCATACTGACATTTGGAAAAAACTCAGCATATTAGTATTTTTATATAGTTGATATCAGACAATTGTTTTTGGGGATCGTGATTTAGCGCTTAATTATCAAAATTTATAAAGTTATCAACATATAATGGTTGAAATTCTGTAAACCATAAGCTTCTTACTATAAAATAAATTGCCCTACTGAGCAAAGAAAATATTTCTATAGTATTAGAATATACTTCAATTAGAATTGAACATGTCTTGAAAATCATAAAATTAAAATATTCTTGTGAGCCAGGCTCAGTGGCTCAGCCTGTAATCCCAGCACTTTGGGAGGCCGAGGCGAGTAGATTGCCTGAGCCCATGGGTCCAAGACCAGTCGGGGCAACTTGGTGAGAACTCGTCTCTACAATAAATTTAAAAAAAAATTAGCCAGGCATGGCAGTGTGCACCTATAGTTCTGGCTACTTGGAAGGCTGAGGTGGACAGATCGCCTGATTCCAGCAGTTTGAAGCTGGGGTGGCCGTGGGGTGACTATGAGTATGCCACTTCACTCCAGCCTGGGCAACAGAGTGAGATTCCAACTCCCTTCCCCCCAAAAAATCCCACAAATTCTTGTGATTTTAGTTCTTTAAGTTACTTTCTAATGGATGAACTTTATTTTACTGGAGATCAAGATCTAATCTTGCCTTTTGACTAAAACTTCCAAAAGTTTTAAATAATAATAATGCAAAGACTAAGATCTATAATTATATTCTTATTATAGACTATAATGGTAAGTTTAGTTGATATTTACCAGTCTGAATGATCGCAGAACTGACAATCCTTCCACATCTGCCAGAAAAAGCTCCACTAAACTTAAAGTCACAATGAGGCTGTCAAAAATATTCCAGCCTACTTGGAAATACTCATATGGATCCATGGCAATTAGTTTTAAAACCATCTCAGCTGCAAAGATTCCAGTAAAGACCTAAATGAGAAATACAATGCTTTTCTATTATTATCAGAAAGTATGGAATCAATGCAATGATGACAACTATTTGCTTATCATTTTCTGTGTTCTAGACAATGTGCTAAATACTTTACAAATGGATATTCTTATTTCATTTAATCCTATAAACTAAGTAGCTTTCATTCTACAGCTCTCATATAAAGATCAAAGGATTAAAAAGCTCTTAACAGTTCTATTACCTCTCATCATGTTTAGTTAGTATTTTAAAAGAGCATGTTAAAATTCCAATAAAGTAAAATCTTTGATAATTAACACAGTCACTCTGCAAAAAAACGTGTATGGGTCAGCAAGTTGTTCTGGAAGAAGCTAATAAAGAAACATAGGTTGATAATAAAACTTTGAACGAGTCTTTTGTTCTGATCTGACTACTCAGAGTAATAAAGGATAAGTTGGCTCACTCTTTAAAGATTTATCAGTAGAAGAGGAAAATGGATTTAATTGACACAGTGGCAGCTAAAGTAAGACTTCTAAAGCTTAGATACAAAAGTGGATTGCAAAACATCATTAATTCATGATACTGGTATCAAAGGATTCACTTTAAAAGGCAACAATGCAAACCTTGTTTGTTAATCATCCAGGTACACTTTGACTCAAAGAACCTGACCAAAAAAAGTTCAAAGGGAAATGGTTAGGTCTATAACCGAGTGACACAATTTTCAAATAATGTAGGATCAAGATGATTAGCAGGAAGCACCATGACTCAGGACTGCAGTCTCAGGATGAGACCCAGTGAATCCTTTTTGAGTTCACAGGGATGCTGTCAACTCAGTGAGAAGGTACTGATTTGCATGATCTGGACCTTCACCATCAATCAGAAGCTAAATAGTCCTGCCTTTTTCCAAAGACAAACAGAAAGGAGGAAGAATGCTAACTCAGAGAGCAAATTGCATCCTAGCTGGGAATATTTGTAGACAATTTAGGAGACAATACAGACCCCCCAAAAAACCCTTTGAATTGATTTGGGACCACAGCAAAAGTAAACTTATCTTATATAGACATTCACAAAGACATCCAGAGTTATTCAAGATTTATGATGAGTCATAAGCTGTGATCTTTTGACCCTGAAAAAGAACTTCTGCCTGCCTCACATACATTGTCAGAAACGAACATTTTTTATTTGCCATAAGGCATTAAGCTAGAGTATAACCAGCACTGCACATTTCAGAGATCACTCTGAAATCAATTTTCCTAATTATATTTTGTATCTTCCTAAGTGAAATAACACAGGAACAGAAAGTCAAACACTGCATGTTCTCACTTATAAGTGGGAGCTAAACTAGGATCTACAAAGACGTATTGAATGGTATAATGGACATTGGATACTCGGAAAGGGGAGAGCTGTGGGGGAGAGGAATGAAAAATCACCTATTGGATACAATGAGCTGATGTGGGAGTGGTGAGTACATTTAAAGCCCAGACTTCTTTTAAATTATACAATGCATCCATATAACCAAAAGCCATGTGTTCCCCCTAAAAGCTATTGAAATAAAAAAAAATACTTGACTCTGCACTTTGATTCATATGATAAATTCTATATATTCATAATTCCAGGGCTGAAAATCCATCTGAACCATGTGTTCCCCCTAAAAGCTATTGAAATAAAAAAAAAATACTTGACTCTGCACTTTGATTCATATGATAAATTCTATATATTCATAATTACAGGGCTGAAAATCCATCTGACTTAAAAAAATGATAATGATGATAGTTAAAGAGAGAAGCTATGGGTACATAACACACCATAAGAGACTCACCAAATTTCCCACCACCAGTACATTTCTGAATTCATTTGTCATTGGGTGGTGCTCCATAGCCATAAACAATGTGTTTAAAACTATGCAAATGGTAATTGCAAGATCTACAAAAGGATCCATTACAATAAAATGGATGAACTTTTTGAATTTTATCCAATATGGAGAGCAATTCCAAATCAAGAATGTGTGTGCAAATCTGTACCACCAAGGTGGACATTTTTGTCTGGACTCTTCAAGTTCTGGAAAAAACAACAACAACAACAACAACAAAGATAGTGAAGTCAAGCATCTGCATAATTTACTCTTAGCCAGATACAAATCAACAATGCATTCTAATATTGAAATAAAGCTTATAGTTTAGACTTTGCAAACTTAACAGTACTATTTCTATGCAAGCATAGTATATTACATGCAATTATTGTATACATGTTCATTGGCTAGATTAAGCATAAGTGAGGGGAAGACAGTGGAATTAATGACCTATTGTAGATATGTGAGTATATTCCAGAGAAAAATATACCTAACATGTGACAGTAAACAGAACTAATCTTTCCTTAATGGAGAAACGTACATTTTCCACAAATATATATACTTTGCCCCTGTGTCTTTAATCCCATGACAAAAATAAAACAATTCTAGTCTACACAGAAAAAGTTCTTGCTAGTTTACAAGTGAAAAAACTCCCAGAACCAAGACACTAAAAATAATTTATGGAGAGACTCATGCAATAGACATTTCATATTATTAGTACATTTATTTCTCACCATAAATTTAGGGAGTGAGCATAAATTTTGAGACCATGATGGGAGAATGAGTGAGGGGTGACGTGTTAGCCCATGAACAAGGTGGGACCTATGGCATATTGTGGGGGCTGAAAGTAGGAACCAGCACATTTTTTAAAGTTGTCACCTCAATATCTAAGGGAGAAGAAAATTAAAAAATGAAAATAAAAGTTGTCACCCTTTGATTATCTTTGCTTATTAGAAGAGAGAAATTCAGAAAGACTAGGTAGTTTCTAAGGTCATATAGTGAGAGAGTCACATAGCTATGGATTAATGTAGTTTTCTGTGTCAATTACCATGAAGTTATTCATCTTCAAAAGATCATAATACTCAATGCTTGTTTTTACTCACAAATAATTTATCAATTTTTAAGCATATGAAAACTGTTCCATCAGCATCCATTGGTTATCTTTACTATGGTCTAAAGCCATGTTATATTATTTGGATCCTTTCATAATAATTACACATACCTGTCTAAGTTTGGCCAGAATTGCTATTAATTTTACTTAAGAATCTGTATGGTAAAGAGAATATTATGACATACCTTCTACTGTATTTGTGAGTATGCTTGCTCTACTCATTGCTCTTTGTCTGAGATGGGGATCATTCAGCACATCCTCTGAGAGGAGGTAAGAACTGCAGCGTCTTTTTTTGTGTATTTGATTAGTTGTACCCTGAAAAAATAAGAATGGTTCATTAAAGTCTTAAGAATAGAATTCTAATACATTCTAGGCAGAAAATAAAAATTTGCTTATTTAGCTGCAGTGAAAAATTACAAGTAGAGACTGGATTGTTGGGTTCAAATCATGGTTCTGCTCTGGTTGTATATCATAGGAGAGTTACTTAACTGTCTCAGTTTCGTCATTGGAAAAATGGGGATAATGATAGTGACCTGCTTTATATTCTTGTTACAAGGATTAAGGGACTTAATACTTAAGAAATAAAAAAAACAAATCTAGCTGCTTTTTTTGTTATAGCACCATCATCATCTCTTTATTATTTTGGATGTCAAATTCATTCAGATAGCTTTACCATGTAAGAGTCCTACATGAAAACCACTAAACAAGTGCTGAAGTGCTAGGCATAGAAAGGAATAGAACCTCAGCATTCTCTGATACATTTCTGTAATTATTCTTTGTTGAGGTAACAACATGAATGAAGGCTACTAAAATGATTGTTTCTTACTCTTAAGGAAGACCTCATGAACTGAGCTGAGTATAGGGTGATAAACAACTCAGTATGAAAAGAACAACTGAGACTGATGAGAACTGTAGCAAAATGGAGAATGCAAGCTCCATCTGAAAGAGGTGACCACTACTCAGTTCTTAACATTGTTGCCATGCAGAAATATGAGCTCAAATATACCAGATCTTTTCATTTTTGAGTGAAAATGTCTTATTTTTGAAACTTGGCTACTAATTCAAATTAAAAACATTGTACTGGTTCAATGCAGGCAGGCCAACAATACACCCCCCCCCCACACACACACTCACACATATATGTTCAAACAACTACACAACTCTAAAGCTATCGTTTATTTGTTGTTTGTGTGTGGTATATGATAAATACGAATATTTATATATATATTTTTTCTAGGTAGTTCTAGAGTTGTATAGTTACTGTCATATATATGCATATCAAAACATAGACATACAGGCATAAATATGTGCATGTGTGTATGTATGTCTATATTTCTATATGCACAGATGCACACACACATAGCTGCAGGGGATCTTTTATAGCAATCTCTCCAAAATTGTGTTTTCTCAGTCATAGTCTCTAATTTATTAACTTTTCAAAAGTGCAGTTCCCTCCCCCTGCTCCCACCACAAGTCACACAAGAATTTGTCTGTTTAAACAAATTCTTTTTCATTGTAGACATGTTTTGATTGCAGAGATTACATTATCTGTTACGCAATGTTTTCATCTAAACTGTATATTATGTCACACTTTTATGTTTATTGCATTATTGAATCTTTAAAAGTATCTACTACTGCTTCTAATTTTATAGTTTTAGCTTTGGGATTTATAGTTGTACTGACGTTTATGTGGTAAAAAAAAACTTAACTCTTAAATGAAAACATTTCATTTAAAAATATGAAATCTCCAAATATGATTTAAATTACATAATATTTTTACAGATCACACACATTCATTGAAAAAAATACACGAATCTGCTTCCATAGAAATGTAACATGCTTATGTGATAAGAAAAAAAAAAAAAACCTTAACAGAAGGGCTTAAGCTGTATCATGCAAGCAGAGGTCACACATTACCTAAAAGCACATGCATTTATTCAAACTGAAATATGTGTGTGGCCATGCCTTTGATGGAACTTTATTCTCATTTATATACTACATCATCTGCGAATATAAGAACATGTAGAATATGTTTGAAGCTTGTTGGGCTAGTCAGAGTCCTTGTTTGATATTTAGTAATGCAACATATCACAATGAATGAGCTAAAGAGGTATTGTGAAAATTTCAAAAAGCAGAAAGGTTTCACTTTCAAGCCTAATCAGATACTTTTCTCTTAACCACTCATTGCTTAACTCTCGGAATTGTATTTCAAAATGTTGTTTTGCTTTTGTTTTTATATTTGTCTGTATCAGTGTGTGTGTTTTGGATATTTTGTTTGATTCATAGATGCCAGATTGAAAAAAATTTTTAAAACAAAAACAGTCATGTTTCATTTATGTAGAGGAATTAAAGCACAGTCATTTTAAATTGTTTTGAGGATAAGAAGTCTACTGTGCATTGGAAAGATATGGGTCCTATTATGACTAACAAGGTCAGCTTTATCAATACATTTCTATGCTGCTCTCTATGTATCTTTTGTAAATTGTTCTCTAAAGAAATTATTTAGAATCTTCAATCATAAAATCAATAGATAAGTACTTTTTAAAAAAACTTGTAAATATCTTTGAATTTGAGGATACAACACAGCATGAGGGTTAAATGAGTTAAAGGTGTGTGTCTACAGAAAAAGTTTTGCAAAATGCAGAGCCATTCACAAGACCAGAGAGAAGGTCCCTCCAGCGGAAAGACTGACTGATGCAGGAATAAGGGCCCAGCCATGCCTGAACTATGTAAAATGTCCTTACGCTGTCATCAGAAGTTGCCTTATCTATTATCACCTCTGGCAGAAGCTGTCCATTGGGGAGCATGAGGGCTGAGGGTCCATCAACCAGGGAGACCACACCATTGCAGTCCACGGCACTGTGCATCTTTCCGTTCACTGGCAGCACTGGGGGAGACCTACTGGCTTGGCTGATGTTATTGCTGCGTTGCTCCTGGGGTCTATGGGGCACAAACAGAGAACCCCTTCTGCTCTCGTTGTCTCCGAAAATGCTGTGTTCGTCATCAGCAAATTCAGTCTCAGATCCTATATCTTTTCCTCGCCCTTTGAAACTAAAAAGACTTGTTCTGCTGCTTCGCCTCGCAGAAAACAACGAGCCACGAATGCTGAGGGGTGACTGCAGAAAAAAATAAAAGATGACATGTATCCACGGAAGCACTTACTGATAGAAGCACACTTTATATAACTACTACTGAATCCACTAGCCTGAGGACAGGCGCCTCTGTACTGGCTTAAAAGAAACATATTAAAAAACAGAGCAATTCAGCGAGAAGATAAATTCTTCCAAATAAGGGATGAAAAGATTTGAAGAATTCATTCTTTCAGGACTAGATAAGTTATTTGTTGCTGTTGAGCTTTCTACTATTCTGGCCTAGAGTAACTGATCTATTTCTTTAAAATACCATTAATTTTCCTGTGTAGAACATGTCACTTAAAAAATAATTTATTTATTCGTTTATTTACTTGAGTCAGGGTCTCACGCTATTACCCAGACTGGAGTGCAGCGGCACAATCTCAGTTCACCGCAGCCTCAACCTCTTGGGCTCAGGCAATCCTTCCACCTCAGCCTCCTGAGTAGCTGGGACTACAGGCACCAGCCACTATGTCTGGCTATTTAAAAAATTTTTTTTTGTAGAAATGAGATCTTGCTACATTGTCCAGGTTTATCTCAAACTCCTGAGCTCAAGCAAACCTCTCACCTCAGCCTCCCAGAGTAATTACAGGGATTACAGGTGTGAGCCACTGTGCTCGGCCTTAAAAAAAAAATAGTATTGCTACCTGTTATTTAGCTTTTCATATACCAATCTGTAAGATCCACAAGAAATTGAAACTGTCTTAAGCACTATGCTGCATGCTTCTTCGTGTAGCATTGATTTCAACTTCACCTTACACATTGAGAATTCTGTTAAGGTGTGCTTTAAAAAGAAGACTTTTTAATGCCAGTGAGTTTACAAAGTCATAAAATATTAAAACTTGGAAAAAAAGCAGTCCAATAAAGAGCGGAAAAAAGTCTCACTAATATGAATCATGTCCAGGATAAATGGTTTCCATAAACCAAACTAAATGTCAATTCTTTGGAAGTATCTAGTTCAATAAAATAAACAGTAGTGCTTACTGTGAAAAGGAAAAAGTGGCAGGCATTGTGAACAATAGAAAATGAGTATGAAAAGGTCTTTGCCTGAGAATCAAGTTGGACTGCTCTTATCACTAATATCACGTGTTCAAGTTCTGTCTCACCATTTAGGTACTGAAGTCTTTGAAGGCATGGATTCTATATTCTATTTCTTGGGCTATGTATATCAAGTAGTATTAGAAATTGGAAACTTTAAATGAAGGCAAAGATGAGAAGGAAAGTAATTCTGAGTGGGGCATGGAAGAGCAGATTGAGATAAGCGAAGAAGACACAGGAAAATTTTGGGGATGGGGACAGCTGAGAAAAAAGGGGAAAAATGAGCGATATCATGACAACAGAAAATAAGGAAGAACATTATTTCAGCTAGAGAAAACCTTGTGTACTAAGCAATAAAAGTTTATACAGGGCATGCAGGTAAGAGTGAGAACTTCAGTTTGGTGAATTAAGGGTGTATGAAGGTAGAGTAAGGTAGGAAGATGAAGCTGAATCCAGTTTGTTGCATGAATAAGATGTGAGGTTCCTTCTGTACTTAGTGGTTATTCAATAGAGATATTTTTGTTTGTTCAGTTTTTCTTTAAGTTGGGTAGAGGGATGACTAGATTTTTGTTTTAGAAAAATGATGTGTGGGTTTTGTGATGGAAAACAGGAACATGCTAAGGATGATAGAAGCAACAGCTCCTTTTGGGGGTTTGAACAGAACTATAGGCAGGAGCCTCGTGATATGGAGAATTCCATGGAAAAAGAAAAAAAAGGGAAGAGAAATTCCACACAGGCAGAATTAATAGATGTGTTAGTAGGTGATGTGGTTGGGGGTGGAGGAGGTCAAAGGCATCTCTAAATTCCAAATTGTGATGGCTAATATTTTTGTGAAACTATTGGCTACAGTGGTGAAGAAAGAAATACTAGACTAAGGTCAGGTTTTAACCAATGAGGCATTACAAAACTGGACTGGATTTAAAAAATGTGATACATATACACAATGGAATATTACACAGCCACAAAGGACAAACATATGGACTTTACAAAATCTTGGATTATTGAGAGTCTATAATACTCAGTGATCTATCACAGAAACAAAGAACAGAGTACCACATGTTCTCATTCATAAATGGACCCTAAACATTTACCATAATACTATACGAAAGGGATTGGCAGTATCAGGATACTGCCGGGGGGTTGGGGGATGAGGAAGTGGGGGCATAACATCAGTAAGGGTTCCTGATCTCAAATCAGGTAAAGTGGGGTATGATGTCCACTTGTATACCTAATCTTGAATTGTAGCCCACATCTTTAAAATATATATAAAATACAAAGTATATACAAATATAAAAGTTAACCTACAGTGTTAACAGTCTCTTCATACGATAGTTCTCAGAAATACTGTTTTTAAAAACATGTTTCTTAGAGAATACATGACAATTCTGAAGGCCTTTCAGAATAACCAGACTTAAATGAAAAGCTACAGCTGTCTTTCCACAAATGCCCAGCAGTAGATAAGTTTTTACCTAAAAACATACCAATGAAGTCACTCACTCTTCTATCCCGAGTTCCCTTAACCAAGCATAAATCTTTTTTGCTCAATCATCCTGTCTCTGATGATATACTTTTGGCAGTTTGGGGGTACCTGGTTTGGGGTAGACAATCTCTTCTCCCGTGCTCGCCTTTGCCCTTCAACACCAAGGTGGAAACTTTTTCTCCGGATACTCTCTTCTGATTCTGATTTGGACAATTTCTCAACATCTCCCTTTTCCTCCCCACTGAACAGCTTCTTTTGATTCTTTTTCTTTCTTCTGTTTCTTCTTTCCTTAGCACTTTTAGAGCTCAGTTTGGATGTTTCAGAAGAACTCTCTGAGAGGCCCGTAATTCTGCTTCTCCCAATACTTGTATATTCAGCAACTGCTGCTGCTATTGCCTATTGAGCCAAGACGTTACACATACATGAGTCATTTCAAAAATCTGGAAAGCCCTATGATGAAGCACATCTTGCCCACCAATGTAACAACACTGTACGTATGATCATGCCCCTTCAAAATGAAATGATACTTTTCTCTGCATTATGATCAGAATGCTTACCATACGTATGTTTGCTTCCTTTCCCACATTGTAATAAAGCAGCACTGTGCTTTGGAATTAAACTATTACATGTTACTATTTGTTTAAAATAAAGAAAATTTAAATATTATACGTTATGTTTCATTAAGCATTTTAGAACATAAAACTCACATAAACCATGTAATAAGATACAGTGTATCATATCAGGTAACTAAGTTAATATCATCAATAGAATCAGACACTCTATAGTTTAATAAAGATTGATTTATCTGAAAAAGAAAATGAATTATTAAAAAATAATACTATCTCAAGAAAATGGTAAGATCAATTATTATTAGCCTGAAAGGGACTCCTAGGAATTCCTCAGGTAGTACCTGGAATAACTTAATACTACTCCTTTATAAAAAAAAAATGCTTTTCATTACAAAAATTTTAAAATTCTTATAAAAAATTTAGATAACAAAGATGTGAATAAAAAACAGAAAAACACTCATCTTACATGATAGAAATAATTCATGCTAATATATCCATTATCTTTTTACATATGTATAATTTTACAATCGCAACTGTATCTTACTATAAGTATTTAATACATCATTGTTTTAACAACTTTTTCCCTCATGGTGTAATAGTGTTCTTAAAACACATAATTTTATGTCTGAATAATACACTAAGACAAAATATCTTAACTCTATTGTTTTCTAATTTTTCAAGATTTAAATGTTTTCTGAATTTTACTATTATTAAAATGCTGTGCTGAACATTTATGCATCAAAGTTTCTCTACATTGCAGGTTATTATTATTACCCTCCCTAATACATTAGATTCCTTGAAGAGATTTAACTAGGGCAAACCACCAAACAAATATTAAGACTCTTGCAGTATATTTGAAATTATATTACTCTTTGTACAAGACTTTTCAAGCTTTTCCACTGAAGTTCTCCTCCAGTGGAATTAAGGAGGAATTTTCAAGGATTTGTGATTTATCCTAAAGTAGCCATAACCATAAGTATGGCTGTCTTAATATCTCATGTTTTATCTTAAAAATCCTTTCAACATTAACAAAAAATTATGTACATTTTACTTTTTGCCCCATAGAGGATCTGTTAATTTTAACATTAAAATAATTTTCCTTGAACCATTGTGGACAATTGGTATCCTGGAGAAATGCAACTTATATATTACGGGTCTTGATATAATTCCATATAAACTGAGGCATTATTGGTAACAGATTTGGAGGAACAGTCTTAGAACATCTTTTGTGCATCAGTGGGGAAGTTGTCAATTGTAGCTCAGTCCAGGACTGGCTCATTCGCTCACACTAGAAATGAGGATGTAGTTAATGTTTGAAAATTCATAAAAAGGAAAATCTACCTATAGAAGGTCAGGCAAAGACACAGGATCTTTGTTGTTACCTTTTTTCATATTTACTTCTAAGAAAAATTTTAAGCCAAATAACAATACCTCAGCTTCTTCTTGCTCTTTTTTAAGTCGGTCTAACATTTGTTGAAATTCGAACTCTTTCTGTTTAGCTTCTTCGATGTTTGCCTGGTTCTGTTCTTCATAAGCCATGGCAACCACAGCCAGGATTAAGTTTATCAGATAAAAGGAGCCCAGGAAAATCACCACAACAAAGAAGATCATGTAGGTTTTGCCAGCAGCACGTAGTGTCTAGGGAAAAATGGAAATTGGCATTTTAATAACACAAAGTTATCTTAATAAACTATTTTACTTTGGCAGAGATAAAGTTGACAATTTTGTATAATCACATGTTATCAAAAATATAAAGAATTAAAATTATATATTCAAGAAAAACAATCAATATTAAACACATTTTCAGTACAAAACATATAATAAACTTATACTAAAGTTAAGTATGATTCTTGATTATTAGTATAATAATATAAAAATTTGAATTTTCCCCATAGTCTGTAAATACTTCTAAAATTTGTTACTTTGTTCACTTCCAAATTTTAGAAACAGGTAATTTCTACAGTTCCTTTTACCGTTAAAATTCTATATTTTTTAAATAAAAAAATTAGCTGATAATGGTAGTGTGCCTGTAGTCCCAGATCCTTGGGAAGCTGAGGTGGAAGGCTAGCCCAAACCCAGGAAGTGAAGGCTGTGGAAAGCTGTGATCATGCCACTATACTCCAGCCTGGGTGACAGAGTGAGATTCTGACTCAATAAATAAATAGGTAAGTAAGTAAATACATAAAGAAATAATTCTGTCATTTATTCTTTAACATGAAATTAGTTATAGCATTTAACTAGGCAGATAGTCTTATTTGATACTTTCATGTATTTCATAGGTATTTATTTTTAACTAATATTTTATCCATAATGTTAATTGCAAGATACTTTTTATCATACATTGCATTTTTAACTAATTTAAAAGCGTACAACAGATATTAAGTGAAAAATAAGTCTCTCTCATCTCCCTCTGATGGCTAGTTACTCAGTTTCCTTTTCTATCTGTTTTTGTTGTTATTGATTCATTCTCTTGAATACACTCCAAATAGTAGAACTAGGTCAACAGGCATGTTTCTTTTAATTTTCATAGAAATTTCTGTGTTATTCTCATCAGTAGTTACCAACAATGTGTGAGGAAACCTGCTCTCTGTATCTCAGTTAGACAATGTATCTCTGGATCTCTTTCTCCAACTTTTTGATCTTTGTCATTCTGAGAGGTGAAAAAACTATCATAACAGTTTTAATTTGCATTTCTTTAATTTTGGGTAAAGTGATCTCTTCTTGCATATTTAAAAAAATCATTTGCATTTCTTTTTTCTGTAAGTGTTTTTTAATTTCTGTATTCATTTATAATATTTCCAGAAATTATGTAAATATAAAATAGACCAAAAGAAGAATCTGCAGCAATTCTGAGAAAAGTGATTCATTGTTATGTATACAGAATAATCATTTTGATCTCCTTCCTTGTGGATTTGGGTGCTGAGGATATATAAATAAATAGAGAGAGCCCAAGTCCCAAGAGGTTCACACCTAAGTTAGCGGAAACAGACATATAAATGAACAATTGCAGTATAAGAGATCAATTCTGCAAACTGAAGAATATACGAAGGATCATGGAAGTCTTCAGGAAGGAGCAACTGGCTTAGGAGAGAAAAATTCAGAGAAGTAAGTTGAATCCTTAACTGTAAGTAGGAGTTCGAAAATAAAACACAATGAGCATGTGTGTGTAGTACACTCCAAGTATGCACAGTAAGCAGTATGTGTGCATGAGTGGCTTCAGACAAGATTTCAGTATGTTTTCTATTTACCTAGGACCCCACAGGATGACACATTGCAAAAGGGAAAAGATCTAGAGATCAAATACGCCCAGAGAGGATAAGAAAATTATTTGTGATTTAAGAACTGCCTCCTCATTAAAATAGTTCTGAGAGTAAGACTTTTAGTAATAAGACTAAGTTTCCTCCCTTTTCAACTGAATAAAAATCCTCCTATTATAAGGCTGGTAAGCAAGATACAACAGATTTTCATGCCATTCAAAAATGCAATGCAGGTTTCTTTTGGCACTCACCTGTTGGTAAAGGTTTTCCCAGTAATCCTGGGTCATTAGCCGAAACAAGGCTAAGAAGGCCCAACTGAAAGTATCAAAGCTTGTGTAGCCATAATCAGGGTTCTTGCCAATTTTCACACAGGTGTACCCCTCTGGACACTGACTACACGTGAAAAAGAACATTACAAGTTAGAGTATCTTCAGGACATAACCTAAAGAGCCCTACCAGAAAAGTTACAAACTCAAGATTTCTTCCATAGGGGACGATATTGAATAATGATTAAAATCACATGATTTGGAGCAGGAATAACTGGGTTTGCATCCTACCCTACTACTGACTAGTTGGTGATTTTGTCAAATTATTTCAATTCTCCAAGTCACAGTTATCTCTTTCTGTGAAAAAAAGATACTTCAAAAGAGTAAAATTACTGGGCTTGGTTGCTCAGCCTGTAATCCCAGCGCTTTGGGAGGTTGAGGTGAGTGGATTGCCTGAGCCTGCGGGTTTGAGACCTGCCTGGGCAACTTGGCGAGACCTCGTCTCTACAATAAATCAAAAATTAGCCGGGCATGGTAGTGCGCGCCTGTAGTTTCAGCTACTTGGAAGGATGAGGCGAAAGGATCGCTGGAGCCCAGCAGGTCGAGGCTGCAGTGGCCAGGAGCGGCCACTGCACTCCAGTCTGGGTGACAGAGTGAGACTCCAACTCAAAAAGAAAAAAAAAAAAAAAAAAAGAAGATTGGTATTAATTTTAAAGAAGATAATGTGTGCAAATTACTTAACATACTTCCTGAACATAGAAAACATTTAATAAATGATAGCTGTTATTAGCATCATCATCAAAACTTGGAAATTTATACTTGATGCTTTATAATAGTTTTGGATCAATAAGAATTGATATGTAGGCCTCTACCAAAACTTTCTACTCTTATTCTTGGAATGAATGAGAATTAAGAATAGTCAAAATATAGCAATGTGTAAGTTCATAAATATTTCAAGCTTTAAGCCTTTTTGTTGTTTTTGTTGAAATTGGTGACTTATTTACCATAATGTTATTACATGAATAGTGTTCTGGACATTTTCTTGGAACAGCAAGTAAGTCTTAGCTTACTTATTTCTGTGTCCTCGGTATATACAGTCAGTGAAGAAGAGATATCGGATGGTGGATGAACAACAGCAAATGGCCTGCTATAAAATGAAGCTGGTGTATGAGAGAAACAGCAGATGGATATTTGCACAGATATGATGAGATTCTTAAAATATATTTATCAAGACAAAAGGGTCCTGTGATTAGAGTGACCAAAACATTTCACTCAGTTACCTATGAGTCCTATTTAATTGGGGGAATGAACAAAACTTAAGAGGAAAGAAAAACTGATTTTGTGGCTCTTCAGAAAGAAGAAAGGCCTGGGACTATCCAACTAGCTTTTGGTGGGGTTTTATGGAAGTAATGTTTTCTACTTTCTTAAGATTTATATGACCTGTATCTTGTGTTAATTCAAGTTCTACCTCAAAGTCTTGCTTTCAAGAGTGTGTGTCAAATGTGAATATTTTATAGTCTGAATTCGCTGTTGGACAGAACAGGTAAAATTATAACAACAATATAGAGTAAAAGATTCTGATTAGCAAACTGACTGAGCATGCTTTTCCTTCTTTTCTGCCTTTAGGTTAAAAGTAAAACAAATATTCGTACCCTGAATCCGCGCTGAAACCACAAAGGAGAGCATCTTTGGATCCCTCCAAGTAATAAAAATATTCTGTTTAAAAAGAATGTGAACAAGAATGAGAACATTACAGAGTGCAAGTTGTATTTGTGATAAACAGGTATATTAATTTATATAAACATATATACACACATGCAGACCTGGTCCTAGGACCTATGTATCCATTTGTTATATTCTCATTTATTGTCATTCAAATTTTTACTGATAACCACTTATAGGCCAGGCAGTAAACATGACAATAAACATAATAAATAAGTCTGTTTTGTGGAGCTTCCCTTATGTTTAGATGAGGGTAAGGTTGGGGGTGGAGAAAGACTTCAGCAAATAAATATACAAGGTATTTTCAAATGATATTGACTCCAAAGAAAAAGCTGCAGTCAGGGAAGACCTTTCTAAAGGAGATGGCATGTAAACTGAGACCTAAATCTGCCAAAGACACCAGCCACGTAGAGACTTGGGGGAAGAGCAAGAACAAAGGCCCAAAGGCACTGAGATGAAATTAGTGTAAGAAAGAGCCAGCAAGATGTCAGTGTCACTATAGAGTGGTGAGAGGGAAAACTGTGGTGACACATGTAGAAAGGGACCGATCATGTATGACTTTGTATATCATTGTAAGGAGTTTGGATTTTAAGTATAATTAGAAGTACAGTCACGTATTGCTTAATGATGGGAATATATTCTGAGAAATACATCATTAGAAGATTTTGTCATTGTGAAAACATCATAGAGTATACTTACATAAACCTAGATGGTGTTGCCTACTGTACGCCCAGGCTATGTGGTAGAGCCTATTACTCTTAGGCTATACACCTGTACAGCATGTTACTGTAGTGAATTCTGTAGGCAATTGGAACACAATGGAAAGCATTTGTGTATCTAAACATATCTAAATCGTAAAGGTACAATAAAAAACTAAAACATGGTGTTAAAATCTTGTGGGATCACCCTTGTATATGTGGTTCACTGTTGATAGAAATGTTGTTACGTGGTACATGACTGTAATAAAGTGGGAAGTAGAAATGTGAGACATCGTTAACATGCTAAAATGCCACTGTAGTGCTCTGTGGGCAGCAGACTATAGAAGAGCAGGTGTGGAAGTAGGGATGACTAGTCAAGTGACTATAATGAAAGATGAAATGGCTAAAACTCAGAGAATAGATGTGGATGTGGAGAGAAGAGGAAGTGTAGTGGACAGGAAATTTTGATGAGGGGCATGTGGAGAGTGTGCAAGAGAGAGGACTCAGGATATATCAACTGGGGAGAGATGGTGGTGCCTGTTGCTGAGCTGAGAAAGACTGGGGAAAGAAGAGGTCTGGAGAAAAACACAGGAGCTCTGCTTTAGCCATGCTTAGTTTAAGATGATTATTAGATATTAAACTATATTTACCAAGTAAGCAGCTACTGTATCTGTAAAATATGAATAAGAATACTTTATATAGTTGTTGATTGGGATAAATAGGATATTGCACGCAAAACACTTGACACAGTGAGCCACACATACTATTCTAGCTGCTCAAAGACAGGGGCTATTGTTATGAGTTTTAAACTATTATACAATTTCAGATAAAATTAATTGACTGACTCACACTTCATCATTTTGTCTTATTCAGAAGATACAAGTAAAATAATAAAGTTTCTTGTTTTGAGGTGGAAGTTTAGGTGAGAAAGTTTTTAAAAAATACTTCTCTGCTTCAAGGAGGATGGGCATGACTGGGTGTGAATAACGGAGGTTAAGATAAAATTTTTTTATACATGAACTTCCAAGGTATAGTATTAAGGAAAGATTTCTTCAGATTTAACTATTATATTGGTTTATGTTTACCTTCATTGAGAAGCTGCATTATAAGAATGGGCTCTAGAGCTACCTGTGCCAGAAAACTGCCAGGTTATCATATTTGATTCAGTTCAAGAATGACAAAAGGTGAAACCATGTGAGTATCTCACTCTGGTTTTGTAGAACACTTTACAATAATTTCTCAACAAATAGACATTAAGCTATTAGGATAGTTGGCTTCTAGAAAATGTAAGGTTAATATCGCAAAAAAAAAAAAAAAAGGAAAACATGAAATGCAAAGATAAATGAAACATTCAAAGTGGGATGATTCTGTAATAGAAAGAATTAAGTTATCAATCAGTAATTCCACTACTAGGTGTATACTGAGAACTGAAATATATCTATCCATACTAAAAGTTGTACATGAATGTTGATAGCAACACTATTCTTTATAATCAAAACATGGAAACAACTCAAATGTCCATCAACTGATGAATGTAAAAACAAAATATGATATTTACATACAATAGAATATTATTTAGCAATAAAGAAATAAAGTAATGACACATACTACACTATGAACGAACTTTGAAAACATTATGCTAGGTGAAAAAAGCCAGATACAAGGAAGCCATATATTGTATTAATCCATTTATATTAAATGTACAGAGTAGGTAAAACCATAGAGATGAAGTAGATTAGTGGTTGCCATGGGCTGAGGGAAAACGGGAATGGGAAGTAACTACTAATAAGAACTAGGTTTCTTTGTGGGGAAATAAAAAAATAGTTTAAATTAGATAGTGGTGATAGTTGCACAACTCTGTGAATATGGCAAAAGCAATGAATTATAGACTTTAAAGGGGGAAATTTTATAATGTGTAAATTATTTCTCAGTAAGTCTATTTTTAAAAGGCAATGCTAATGGCAAAAGTTGTGGGTAAGAGTGAGATAAATTCCAATCTCCCACTAAAATATATATGAAGGCAAAACAAAAAAATATAAAAAAATGGATATAATAAAACTCTAAAGTTGATATTCAATCTATTGAAATGTGGAGGGGGGAATTTTTCTATTAATTTCAAGACTAATGGAACAAAATAGTAAAACATAATTGGTAATAGTAAAACATCATTCTATGGTTAGTTCTATCTGCCCTGGCTAAGAAAGAGAGCTTGGAGCAACTATATATAGCTTGGACTTATGGAAGTGGAGGGTATATTCCCAATCAAGGAGGTCAATGCAACTCTGAAAAACCTATTGCAGAAGGTCAGGTTGGGGCAGACTGCCCATGGGATACATTGGATTCTGGGAGGTGCACTGTCCACAAGAAAAGATCTGTATATGAAGGAGACAGGAAAAGACCTTGTAGCAGAGAAGACTAGTATTATGATTTTTCCCCAAACTTTCTCTATTAAGTGTTAAGTATTCAGAAAATAAAAGAATATTCTACTTTAGCCCAATAGAACCACAATGCATAATAATGGACATTTACCTCCAAACTGCACATAAACCTTACTTTCATCTATAGCAGCAAAAAGAGTATTTGAAGAGCAGTAGACAGTGAGTAACACCAAATCTATATGCATTGTATGTTTTTAAACAGGAGGCTAGACAGTGAGTTCATTTATTTGATAATGAATTTTGAAAAACACCTCTGAAATGGCTCTCCTATAGGCACAAGAAAACACTTTTAGATTATGTTCAAGTTTTCTATGTAGGTTGCCTTTATCATTATAATTCATTATAATTCTTTGATCTTGTCAAGAATGCCTATTTATTTACCTTATCACTTTCTCATGTCCTATCAACCAACTCTTGAGTTTACTTCTTTCTTTGCCCAGTTTAAATCCATGGGCACTCATTATCATCATTCCCTAATGTGGCAGAACCCCTGTTTACATTTAATCTAGCATCCTTCTTTTCCATGCTTGCTTCCAAGTGGCTGAATGTTGGTAGATAGAGAATCTCTCACAACAAACTGCATGGTTACATTTTAACTAAATGATCTCCAATCAACTGGCACTCTAACTCAATTTCCCCTTTCCTAAGATGATCATGTAAAATGTATTCTCCTCAAACCTTCTATAGAATTTCCCGTTTTCTTTGTTTTTGTTTGTTTGAGTTGGAGTCTCACTCTGTCACCCAGACTGGAGTGCAGTGGCTGCTCCCGGCCACCGCAGCCTGAACCTGCTGGGCTCCGGTGATCCTTCCACCTTAGCCTTCCAAGTAGCTGGAACTACAGGCGCGCACTACCACACCCGGCTAATTTTTTTTATTTATTGTAGAGATGAGGTCTCGCCAAGTTGCCCAGGCGGGTCTCGAACCTGCAGACTCAGGCAATCTACTCACCTCAGCCTCCCAAAGTGCGGGATTACAGGCTGAGCCACCGAGCCTGACTGTATTTCCTCTTTTCATTTGCACTCTCAGTCAGTAATCCCATCTCCTACTTCCTTGAAGAAGTAAAAGTTATTGAATTTGAACTTAATCATTTGTTGTTAAACCTGCAGTCTACCCCTCCATGTTTTCTCCTGCTTCAATGAAGATGTCTCTTTGTTCTTTCACTTTCTCAAGGAATTGACTTCTCTCTCTCTCCTGAATTAATCCTTACACTACTACTCATTCGTTGCTATCAATAGAACAACATCCCTACCAAAATCCATCTTTTTAAAAAAATGATGGCCATTGCCCCATTATTCTGCTGCCCTTAGAGTCAAATTTCTTGTAAAAATTGTCTACACATAATATCTTCTCTTCTCCCTGACCTCTTATTGACCCCTGTAGCCACCTTATTCTGACCTTGTGCCTCCACTACTCCTCAAAATTTTCCCATGAAAGTCTCTAATAACTTCTATATTGTTTAAGCTTTTACATATTTTTCTAGCTTCATCATCCTTAATGCTTGATCTTGCAGCATCATTCTACATAAACACTCCCTTTGTCACCAGATTGCCCAGCTTCTACCTGCTTAAAAACATCATGGATGTTCAGAAAGGGGTGTGTGTGTGTGTGTGTGTGTGTGTGTGTGTGTGTGTGTGTGTGTGTGTGTGTGTGTGTGCGCGCGCGCGCGCGCATGCGCGCGCGCATGCACGCGCACATGTGTGTCCCCTTCTTTTTTGCTGATTGTTTTGGAATTTATATCTCCAAACCAGGCAGTTCCTCTGATTTCTATGCCTAAAACTCCAATTATGTACTTTATATCTCCACCTAAATATCGTAAAGACATTTCAATTTTAGCTGGCTAATTTTCCCCTATAAACCTGCCCAACCTCTCCTATTAACCATTACTGCCCATTGCAGCCAGAACCTGAGAAGTCATCATCAAGTCTTCCTATCTTCTTTTATCCATCAGCAAGTTCTATAGATTTTGTCTCGACCTCACCCTTTTCTCTTCACTTCCCTGTCATCACTGTCAGATGAAACCCCCATCTTTTCTTGTATAGATGATAGAAACACCCTCCTAGCTGGTCTCCCTTATTCACCCTTGCCCAATCAGCTGTCCATATAGCAGACACAGAAATAAAAACCGCTGCATTTAAAATAAGCTCTAGTTGCCATCTTGCATCTCCACATGTGCGTGTCTAATTTCAGCTGGCCCAGTTGAGACCCCCTGAGCACCATCCCTAGTTGTGTGTGATGCCTTTTCCTCTTCAACAATATGAAAGAAACTATCACGAATCAGGAAAAACTTGCCAAATTGCAAACAAAAGTTCACGCTGGTAGGAAAGGAATTGTCCACAGAAAGGGGTTCATAGAACAACTACAGCAGATGATAAAAACAACTCCAGTTCTACTTAAAGAAGTAGGGATGAACAATATCTATGGTATTGAAGAGGTGAACAGGTTTACAGTCCAAAGAACAATGAACCACTTTAACAATCCTAAAGTTTAGGCATCTCTGGCAGCAAACAGTGTCTCCATTACAGGCCATGCTGAGATAAATCAGCTGACAGAAATGCAACCTAGCATCTTAAACCAGTTTGGTGAGGTCAATGTAACTAATTTAAGGAGACTGACTGAAGGTCTGCCCAAACAATCTGTGGATGGAAGAAAAAACTTGAAGAGGTTACTGGAAGCTGCTATTTTATATTATAACTGCTTTTAAAAACTGTTTTGTTTATAGATCTGATAAAATCTAGATCTCTAATATATTTAAACCCAAACTGCTTGAACACTACAGCTCTTTTCAGTTTTTGCCTATACACAACTTGATCTTTGCAGCTAATTAAGCTAAAGAAGCCTGGGAATAAAGTTTAAAACAAAAATTAGTAAAGTTCTTTGCCAAATAAAATAAAATAAAATAAAATACACTCCTTCCCATGGGCTAAAATGTCCTGCATGATTTGACCCCTGCTATTTTATCTTGCTTTCTCTAATGCCAGTCTGAATTTCTCTTGCTAAATTGCACTGCTGTTTTTCCATTCTTTAAATACATACTCTTTCTTGTTTCAGGGCCTTTGCCCATGGTATTCCTTCAAACTGAAGCCATATCCTCTATATGTGCACTCACATCCACATTTACACTGTTTTATGGCTTCTTATTTTTTACATCTTCATGTAAATGCTAACATCTCAGAGAAGTCTTCTCATTTAGTTGATATCTCAGCCTCTGAGATTTATTTTACTTGCATAGCATTTATTATAACTCAAAATATTTTTAACTTATTTGTTTGTTCTTCCTTAAAATTTTTTCATTCCCACAAAAAGATAAGCTCTATGAAAGCAGAGAGTGAGGCTATCTTGTTCATTGCTAAAGCTCCAAAAACTTGAACAACTTTTGGCTAGGAAAGGCACTCAAACACATGTTGATCAATGCAAGTCTGAATGGATGATGAAATAAGTAATGGCTTCCATGACAGAAAACAGAAAACAAAATTCAGACTTGATTTAAATATCTCTTCTCTAAAACAGTATTTTAGAAGAAAATGAAGTGTAGTGCATAGAA